TACTCAGCACTGCTGAACGTGGTCTAGACAAGGTCTGCTTGTCAGGCAGAAGGAGAAGGTGCTCCCGGGATGGGAAGGACAACGGGAATTACTCAACACTGCTGAACGTGGTCTAGACAAGGTCTGCACGTCAGGCAGAAGGAGAAGGTGCTCCTGGGACGGGAAGGACAACGGGAATTACTCAGCACTGCTGAACATGGTCTAGACAAGGTCTGCACGTCAGGCAGAAGGAGAAGGTGCTCCCGGGATGGGAAGGACAGTGTGAATTACTCAACACTGCTAAACGTGGTGAATGTGGTAAGTTTTATGCTACATGTGTTTTGCAATCAAAAAGAAAATAGTTGGGGGCACCGGCCCCAAATACCGAGGGTGGAGGGTTCAAACCCAGCCCTGAACAAACTGCAACAACAACAAAAAAACCGGGCATTGTGGCGGGCACCTGTAGTCCCAGCTACTCAGGAGGCTGAGGCAAGAGAATCACCTAAGCCCAAGGAGTTGGAGGTTGCTGTGAACTGTGACACCACAGCACCCTACCAAGGGTTAATAAATGAAGCTTTGTCTCAAAAACAAAACAATAGTGGCCAGGTGCCGTGGCTGGTAACCCTAGCACTGTGGGAAGCCAAGGTGGATGGATCACTTGAGCTCAGGAATTAGAGACCCTATCTTTACTAAAAATAGAAAATAGGCCTGACCGTGGCTCACACCTACAATCCTAGCACTCTGGGAGGATGGAGGGTGGGTGGATCCCCTGAGCTCACAGGTCTGAGACCAGCCTGAGACAGAAATTACTTGAGCTCGAGAGTTTGAGGTTGCCGTCAGCTGTGAGGCCAAGACACTCTAGCCAGGGTGATAGAGTCAGACTCTGTCTCAAAAAAAAGAAAAGAACTTTGGGAGGCTAAAGCCCAGGAGTTGAGGTTGCTGTGAGCTGTAACACCACAACACTCTACCCAGGGTGACAGAGTAAGACTCTGTCTCAAAAAAAAAAAAAGAAAAAAAGGAAAGACAATAGTGTTCTGCCTTCCTACTTGTTAGAGTAATTGACAGGAACAAGATCAAGGGTGGACCAGGAGGTGTCATACTGACAGAGTGGCTTTCGTGCTGAAGAGGGAGACCTGCTGGCCAGGTGGGGTCCTGTGATGGACAGGCCTTGCAGCCAAACAGCCCTTCTCTGGATACTTACTTGATATTTTCTGAGCCCATCCAAACTTGTAGTAGACAAAAAGCAAGTAGAATATGAGGCCGCTCAGAATGAATAAGAAACAGTACAGATACTCCCAGGCGGGCGAGCTGATGATGGGGGCCAGGACCAGGAACACAGATATGAGAGTCACCAGGATGGGGACAACCACGGGCACCTGGGGGCAGAGCGGCAGGTGTCAGGGTCGGCCAGATGCACTTGTTTTCACTTTGAAATTCTCCATTAAAAACTATAGGTACAGAAAGAGTATAATGAACCCTCATGCGCCCCTCCTCCAGTTCCCGTAATTTTTATGTAATTTTGCCAATCTATTTCCTCCACCTTTTTTCTTTTACCTAGAATAGAGATACCAGATTTTAAATGTGATTTTACTTGTGAAATGGTCCGTATAGGTGCCCTAATTCACGAGGACTTTTCCCTTTTCACATGTGTGTTCCCCTCTCCTCCTTTTTTTATCTTGTCACTGATGTGAGGAGGAATTGGATGAATTCTCTGTCATGGTGACTTCGGCTTCACCGGAGGACTTCCTTCTGGTGTCACGTAACTTGCGTCCCCGTCTCCCATCCCCGCTGTGAGCTGGCGGTTAGATTCAGAAGCAGAGTCGATTCCGGCTGGAGCAGCGCGTCCTGAGGTGTGTGGCGTCCTCTGTTGTGCTGCCGAGTTGTGAAGACAGTGGGGACTGGGGAGCAGTCAGCCGCACCAGGATCAATGTCCCCAGTAATTGTTCATGGTTTCACACTAAAAGTAAAGGTAAAACTTTGAATGGTCTTAGCAGCTACACAGGACCATTGTATAGATTTGTTCTTTCGGCGAGAGTCACAAAGTGCTGATTTTCTAAATCTGTCGTTCTGGACAATTGGAGTTTGTCAGGGAAGGCAGGGTAAGTGCTTGGTTCTTTTTCTTGGTTTTCAGAATGATGAGTTTGGCCCTCAAGACCTCTAAAAGCGACTCAAAACTCGTGGCTCTTCGTGTATTTGAGAAGTTTCAGTCTGTGGCAGTCATTCTTGATGTCCAGGACGTCCGGTCAGTGGCTGCCAGGAGCCCTTCAGCCGGGCCTCTGGGTCCTTGCAATGTGACCCCAGGTTCTGCGGGAGCGTTTTGCCTGCAGCCTGGTGGGATGTGCCAGACGCAAGCGTCTCCGTTTCTCAGGGGCAACGTTGATTCCTTTTAGTGGGAAAGGGCATTGAAAAACCATGATTTGGTGACTGGCGTACTTATCTTTTACAAGGACAGACATAAAGTAAGGTTTGTTTTCGAGAAGGAAAAAAATTCATGAATTTACACTGACATTTCCAGTTCAAATGAAAGATTGCCTTCTTTTTTCTTACGCTTTGGGAAATCTTGTTCCTTAATGATTTTAACATAGCTTACTTGCTTTTTATCTTGTAATGTACATATAATAAATGTCAAAATAGCTATACCAGTACTACAACCAGTGGTGGTATGAAGTTTAAGACTTTTAAAAAGTTTTTTTCCAACCACAAGAATATTATATACCACAAGGGAAATTCATTTGGAATACTTATTTTTTTTCCTTTTATTAAGTCATATACACATAGATCATGAATACATTTATGCATTTGTAGGGTACAATGTGTTGGGTTTTTAATACAATTTGGAGTGCTTACATCACACTAATTAATCCAGCCTCATTCAGAAGACTTTAGTATGAGTTGTGCTGTTTCCTCTTCCTGGTCATGCCACCTACTTGTTACAGAGTAAGGTTTATCTGTACTTGTTTTTAATTTTTTCCTTTTTATATTTGTTTCTTAGCATCATAACGTTTAATGTTTCTTGATCTTGCTTTATTCTCTCATTATTTCTTTTGAGAATGAACACACAGACACATGTTCATCTTCTGAACTCTCCCTAAAAGGCAGGGAGTTACGAAAGGGTCCCACCCTGCCTTTCCTTTCCTTTGCTGGGTTTAGACCGTGTGGTGGTCACAGGGAAGGTGGTGGCCGTGACTGTTGCTGCCTCACACAACTCCAGCTTGGATGTGCCACTGTGGAATCAATCCTGGTTGACGGACGCTGGGGTTGTGTTGAACCTTTACTGCTAATGAATGCAGTATAAATAGCGTGTCTATTTCATATTTTTTCCAGTTTCATTAGGGATAGAGTGCCTCAAAAGGGGTTGGCTGAGTCAAAGAGTAGACACACATATAATTTTGGTAAATATCGCCAGATTTTCCTTCATGTACTTGTTACCATTTGTATCCACTAACATTGCAGGAGAGGGTCATTCCCCACAGCCTCACCATGGACCGTGTGGTCAACCTTTTGGATTTCTCACTGGAAAAACTATAAAATACTCCTGAAAGATAGAGAGGTAAGCTTACATAAAAAGTCACATGTGGCTGGGCACCCATAGCTCAGTGGGTAGTGTGCCAGCCACATAAACCAAGGCTGGGGGCTTCGAGCCCAGCCTGGGCCAGCTAAACAACAATGACAACTACAACAAAAAAATAGTGAGGCATTGTGGCAGGTGGCCTGTAATCCCGCTTACTTGGGAGGCTGAGGCAAGAGAATCTCTTAAACCCAAGAGTTTGAGGTTACTGTGAGCTGTGATGCCACAGCACTCTGCCAAGGGTGACGTAGTGAGACTCTGTCTCAAAAAAACAAACACACAAAAAAGATTTCTCCCCATCGGATAGGTGAGAAACTGGTATCTCACTAAGAGAGGAATAATTTCAGAATTCGTTCTCTTAGCAGGAGCCCAGCTGAGTTTGCTGGGGGAGTAGTTTGTGTTTTTCCTTTGAACTATCATTCTTCCATCTCTAAGTTTCAGCATTTCCTGTCTCAATTTCTAGAAACTCTTTAGATGTTTATTAAGATATTAGCCTTTTCTGTGATGTTAATTATAAATATTTTCCCCATTATCTTACATGTTTTTAACTTTGTTTTTTAAAGGATGTATTTTTAGACTTACATGTAACATCTTTCTTCTTTTTAACTTCTAGATTTTTGAATCATAGGAACATTCTCCCCATTCTTGGATGTACAAAGGAATTTGTTTTCTTTACACATCAGCACCACAATAATTAAATTTTAGAATTTCTTTTTTTTTTTTTTTTTTTTTTTTTGAGACAGAGCCTCAAGCTGTCCCCCTGGGTAGAGTGCCGTGGCATTACAGCTCACAGCAACCTCCAACTCCTGGGCTCAAGCGAGTCTCCTGCCTCCGCCTCCCAAGTAGCTGGGACCACAGGCGCCCGCCACAACGCCCGGCCATTTTTTGGTTGCAGCCGTCGTTGTTTGGCGGGTCCGGGCTGGGGATTCAAACCCGCCACCTTAGGTGTACGTGGCTGGCGCCTTAGCCGGTTGAGCTATAGGCGCCGAGCCAAATTTTAGAATTTCTAACATTTAGAAAGGTAGAAATATTTAGAATATTCTAATAGTGTTCTCCTTTTTTTAGGTTCTTCCTGGGTGGTGTTATTTATTCTTCAGTATTAACTTTGTGATTAAACTTGTGTAAACTGCAGGAAAAAATATTAGATGATCCTTTTTACTGCAGTTGTATTAAATTTCTAAGTTAATTTAGGTCACCATTGATACCTTTATGATGTTAAGTTTTCCTATCCAAGAACACATATGACTTTTTCCTTAAGCTTTCCTCAAGTATTTACTGTTGAGCACTCCTGAGTAGATGGGGGATGGTCTGCTGTGTGGCTGGTTTTGTTTGGTGAGATGACTTGCCCTCCCTGTCTGTTCATTGGATGGCGTTTGCATAAAGGGCATTAATTTTTTTTAATTTTTTTTTTTTTTAGAGACAGTGTCCCCCTCAGTAGATTGCCGTGGTGTCTCAGATCACAGCAACCTCCAGCTCTTGAGCTCAAGCAATTCTCTTGCCTCAGCCTCCCGAGTAGCAGGGACCACAGGCACCCATCACAATGCCTGGCTATTTTTTGTTGCTGTTTGGCCAGGGTCAGGTTCAAACCCGGCACCCTCGGTATTTGGGGCCGGCGCCCTACCCACTGAGCCACAGGCACCGCCCAAGGGCATTAATTTTATATTACTACTTTATTTTCTTGTTTTTTTCTTTGATGCTTTTACATCTTCCAGATATATAATTACATTATGTTCCAAAGGAATTTTAGAAACTTTAAAAAATCTTTTCAGGGTATGGTGTTATCACCCTGCCTGCAATCCCAGCACTTTGGGAGGCATAGATGGGAGGACTACATGAGGGTAGGAGTTCAAAACCAGCCTGGGCAAGTGGTGAGACCCTGTCCCTACAAAAAATTTAAAAGTTAGCAGGGCATGTGCCTGTAGTCCCAGCTACTCAAGAGGCTGAGGCAGAAGGATTTCTTGAGCCCAGGAGTTCATTCTTGCATTGAGCTATGATTAGGCTACTGTGCCCCAGTCTGGGTGACAGAGCAAGGGCCCTGTGTCCAAAATACTAAAAATAAATAAAAGGCAGTGCCCATAGCTCAGTGGGAGGGCGCCAGCCACATACACTGAAGCTGGCAGGTTCAAATCCAGCTAGGACAACAATGATAACTGTAACAACAAAAAAAATAGCCAGGCATTGTGGTGGGTGCCTGTGGTCCCAGCTGCTTGGGAGGCTGAGGCAGGAAAATCACTTAGGTCCAAGAGTTTGAGGTTGCTGTGAGCTATGACACCACGGCACTCTACCCAGGGGGAAAATAAATAAATAAATAAATAAAATGGGGGGTTAATCTCTGGAACATGGGAGGTTTTTTAAAAAATTATAAGATGGGCCCAGTGCAGTGGCTCATGCCTGTAGTCCTAATACTCTGGGAGGCCACGGCTTGTGGATTGCTTGAGCTCAGGAGTTCAAGACCAGCTGAGTAAGAGTGAGACACCATCTCTGGGAAAAAAAAAAAAAAAAAACTAGCTAGCTGTTGTGG